TTTTTTTTTTCCTGGAAAGACTAAGGTTATATTCTCGATCAATTAAGATTAATAATACATATTTACTGTCTAATTCAAGATAAAATTCAATTTATTTAAAGCTTATAGGATAAGTAAATTATTACCTTGTTGTAGTATCTAACACTGACTTCCGAAAACTTCAATTGCAATTTTCCCAGGACGCTTGAAAAATCAGTTTCCAACCATAGTAAAAATATTTATTTGGGTGAAAAAAAGATTAAAAGGATAAAATCCTGTCTACTTCTTTATCGTTTATTTTGAAGAGAAGAAAATGAAATGTTCTAATTTTTATTCTATCCCCCAAAATCTCCTCCTCCTCTTCTTCTTCTTCTTCTTCATATGGAGAGGAAATTGTGGTTAATTGAAAGAAAAAAAAAGTAACCATAATTTAATTTTGAAAACAAACAATTAATAGTAGGGGGGTGTTTAGTAGTGTGATAATAGTTGCTTTTCGAAGTGTTTTTTCACTTAAAAATACATAAAAATAATATTTTTTATTTTTTTAAAATTATTTTTAACATCAGTAGTCAAAATAATATGAAAATACCAAAAATTATTAATTTAAAACAAATAAATATATATATATATATTAAAAAAAATTAAAACACAAAAAAAAAGATGCTGTTAGTCCCTAACTACTAATTGAATCTAATTATTTTAACAAAATTATCCAGTTGAGGTAAATTGATTGATAGGTAAGGGATTCAATTGATAAAATCAATAATTGAGAGACTTAACCAAGAAACTATAAATAGTTGGATGATTGGTACCTCACTGACGCCTCCCAACCAATGAATCATTCTCACGTGTCAAAGGCTATACATGCTTGGATTTCCTAGATTGCATCTCTCCTATCCTATTACGCGTGACAAGTCAGTTTCCAGTTATGATACCAAAAAACCAAAAAACAAATTAAGAGTTGAATTTCTATGTATTATTTCCTTATTTTTACTCTTAAAAAATAAATAAATAAAATATAGAGTAAAGTGCTTATATTATACAGAAAATATAGCAAAGATATATAGTCATCATATGGTAATAATACAAATAATATTTTCTAGATTACCCTTTTTTAAAACATTTTCAAATTGATTGAAATGCTAAATTTCTCCTTACTTGAACTCAGCGAAGACAAAAAAAAGAACCTTGATTAAAATACAAAAAAAAAAACCCAATTGATTTCAAGTTTTAAAAATACTAACTCCAACGATAATTAAGTAAATTTATTGTGCATATAAAAGGAAAAGGACAAAACAATCCTTAAACTTTAGTTACATTTACCTTGATTTCAAGGGTATTTTAGTCACTAAACCATGATATAAAATACAGAAAAACCCATGTTGTCCCTCGTTAGTTAATATGTTAATGATCATTTAGCCCTTATGAAATTATAATAGCGCCCAATAGCTAACCTAATGAATTTTTTTTCAGAAATAATAAAAAGTATAGGTATATTGTTTTCATCCATAATACACACTGTATCTAGGTGTAACAACTTGGATGATAAAAATGAATCCATGAGTGTTATTTTTATTTGGTTTTTGAATTGTTATTTCCAATTTGATTTATAAGTATTATCATCATATTATAATTGTCCAAGTTTTGAGAATGTATGTTTTTATAATTCCCTTCTATTGTTGGTTACCTTGTTTTAAGGTTATGTATTGTTACTTTATAATGATAGAAGTAACATAAACATGTGTGGTTGAAGTGATCAATATATATATAAAAGTTTTAGAGTAAAGTCTTAGGGTAGCATTTAGTTATTATCCTAAAATAGAT